CGCAACCAGATAACCCAGTTGGCAACAGTCGTCATTGCTCGAAACTAGGAAAAACTAAATTATATCGTTGCAAGTCAAACAATCGCTCAGAGCTGGCAGCCATTTAGAGGCTATGTTTTTGTTTTTGGACGGAAGAGGTTATGGGCAGTTTATGGCGTGACGATTTAGATTCAGATTCGGGTTGGGAAATTATACGCATGACCAAACCAGTATTCGCAGTCACATCCTCACATCTCGTAAACAAAAGTAACCTGAGGAAATGGCCCTGGTTATCATGTTTTCCCTCCCGACTTTGCATCAATAAATTAAGTTTTTTCTAGTTTGGAGCGATGACGACTGTTGCCAACTGGGTTATCTGTTCGCGAAGATGTCTTTTTATCGTTCGAGCTATTGTCAAACTGCGTGTGGAAAAGGATAATTGTCAAAATGTTTTAGTTCATCAACAGTCTCACCATCTGTGCTCTGGACCAAGTTGTACAGTACTCACGCTACATGTTTGTACACAATCTTTATTGGATGAATCAACTCTCAACCTGCCTGCAAATTTCTTCATAGCCACAGTGCTACTGTGATTATTGTAGTACAATCTGATTTCAATGAAACTGAATGTGAGCGGCCCTGTTATGTGAAGACGCACCTCTTTGTTTATGAGCGAAACAAACAGCGTTACTCTTGAGAGTCCCCAGTGGGTCAAACAACTATCAGTGGTGATCAGAAATGTTTTCTTATGAATTTTGTGAATAATGCAGTAGTTTATCTATTTTGCCATGAATCCATGCATTGCCTACCCTATTCAATAATTTTGGGTCATATTTTGGCGAGACAAAAAAGTCTCGCCATAAATTGGCGAGACATTTGAATCTGACCATATTGTGGCGAGACATGAAAGTACCGCCAAAATGTGGCGAGACTTTTTGTCTCGCCTCTCCAGAGGCGTAAAGTCTGACCTTTGGATTTGTAGTGTCCGGTAGAGAAGGTAGTAAAGAGGGCGGAGTATGGTTTGAACCAAATCCAATCCCTACGCCTACTTCCGGTTGCAAAAGTTAAATGAGTGGGTCTGAGAGTGATCGCGAATTCCCTGATGACGACCGCGATGGAGATGAGAGGCTTTCGAAGAAGAATTGTTGCGGCGATTTGCGCTAATCGAACCGCGAGGCCTTGCCCACCACTTTATACGAAAAACAAGAAACAATATAGTGGCCAAAATTTCAATAAGGATTTGGCTTGGCTTGGACTACAGTTGGCCAAGCTCCGATACCCTCTCTCGAAGGTATGACAAGCATGAAAAGGTTTCTTTATTGTACCAAATAGTTGTGAAACTAGGTTAGGTCGCCCTCTCTTTATTTACATCTTTTTCTAAGTCCAGAGGCAAAATCCCATTCTACAAAATGCGCCAAAGATTTTGAAAGGAGTGGAAGGACCAACTTCATCAGAAGGGGAAGTCTGGGCAGGGGGCACTTGCTCTCTACATGCATCTAATCCCTCTCTTTGAGGCTGCCGCTTTCTAGCGGACCACATAACGCCAGAAAGTACACTGTAAAAATTAAGTCCGGAATAAACGACGGATCCTTCGGCAAAAAAATGCCAACGGTTCCTTCGTTAATTTACGAAGCTCTCCGTATATTTACAACAAGGTAGGTTTACCGCCCAGACCGCGTCTTGTCGTACAGGCTTCGCGATGTCTCGCTGCCTGTTCCCTCCACTCCACGCCTGGCGTACCTACCTTGGCCTGCGGCGCTTGCTGCCTGCGGCAGGCAATGGCTTGTCCATTGTCGGTTATTTTTTAACTTGTTGAATGCTGGGGGGCCCCGCCCCCCAGACCCCCCTACATCTAAATAGAGTTGTTTTATCTACAGATAACACGATCTTGACCCTTGTCCCCTTTTAACTTGTCGAGGCTGGGGGCTCCGCCCCCCAGACCCCCCTTTTCCGCCAAAACAAAGTGATCTATCTGCAGAACAGCTCTATTTTTCGCCGTTTTTTAGGTGTTTTTCGGCTATAAAAACTGAACCAGTTGAGCTAGGATGGTGAAATTTCGCGTGTGCCGAGCCAAGGACATACCCAAAAAGTGTGCCAAGTCTCACCGAGATCGGCCGAGCCGTTTAGGATAGTATGCGGACACACAGACACACAGACAGACAGCCTCAGACAGACAAAACTTTTCAACCCCACTGAAGTAACAGGCTTCGCATCGGTCAGCCAAAAACCTTCGTTAATTTTTCAAACAATCTCTGTCGAATTTATAATCCCAATGAAATTTACGAAGCACCTTCGTAAATCTACCAAGATCCTTCGTAAATTTACAGGGAACCTTCGTTAATATACAGAGAACCTTCGTAATTATACGTCTGGAATTAACAACGGATCCTTCGGCAAAAAAAATTGCCAACAGTTCATTCGTTTATTTACGAAGGTCCGCCGTAGATTTACGAAGACCAGTCGTGGATTAACGAAGCCCGTCGTAAATTTACAACAGATTCTGCACATTTACGATTTTTCTTCGTAAATTTACTAATAACCTTCGTAGATTAACGATGAACTTCCGTCAATTTACAAAAGTTCCTGTAGGAAAGAAACATTTACAGTGCACTTTTGGACATTCCCAAAAACCTTCGTAAAATATTCCGTTGTAAATTCACAACAAAATTTTTACAGTGTAAAATAGCTGACTGGAATTGTATCGGCGTGAAGTGCCCTAGAACATTTGGATAAGAGCAAAAAGGACCTGTCACTAGAACACCTAGGCATGAAAACAAAATGAGTCAAAATTATAGCACAAAGTCCACATACCAGCATTTGTAGCAGCAGTCCCAAGAACTTCAGAACTAGGAACATCAGAACTGGTACAGTCTTCATCGGCAAAGAGTCGACGGGTCGGGACCGGATTTCGACTCTTTGCCGACACGAAAACCAAACAGCACATGGTGGTAGACAAAAGCTCCGGTAGTGCTCCGAGCTTGGGAGGGCCATAAAACCATTGTGGCTCGAGCTCGCCCCCGCCGCTTAAGCGGGGACCGTCACATGAAGTCGACTCTTTGCCGGTCGACTCTTTGCCGATGAAGACTGTACCAGCATTGGATTGAACAGCATTGGATTGAGCAGCATTGGATTAAACAGCATTGGATCGCCCAGCATTGTCTCCATCTGAAACAATACACACAGGTCACACAAAGACAGACTACACAGGCACCTAAACCACTGACATTTTGACAGAAAACTTTAAACTTTATATCACTTAATGACCTTCAGAAAATAAAAGTACAGACGGATTGAGACTTGTCTATTGGGACTTCATTGGCACTCGTGGAAATAGCATTTACAGGTTGAACACAGGCTTTGCTAGGATCCGACCCACTGATCTATGTACAAAAGTTTAAATTTCTGGTACTTAATGAGCTTCAGAAAACTAAAATTGGAAATAGTTTGAGCAGTTCAGAGTTGTTCAAGCACTCACGCAATTTACACTGAAGTATAAAATACCTGCAGTAGACGCTTGATGTGAAAGTGGTATTGACAAATTATATGGGTATTCCCCCTTATTCAACGCCTCCAGACGCCGTCTCCTGACCAAGTCTTGAGCATCCATACTGAAATATAAGACAGTTGTTAGGCAATGGTCAACCTCTGCCACTCAAGTGCAAGGGTGCAACTCAAAAGTGCACTTTTGGACATTCCCAAAAACCTTCGTAAAATATTCCGTTGTAAATTCACGACATAATTTTTACAGTGCACTTTGCATCTGGTGAAATGTCAAGCGTTTTGGCTTAATCGTCAAGTCAAAAGTTGCGCTTTCTGGAACGCTTTCCTTAAAATGAAATAAAAACTCCATACCAGAATTTTAATATGTTGTTACTACAACCTTAAGGTAAATTTTCATGCATAGAAATGTATTTTAAAAGGTGGGGTAAGGTCTGCTATTTTGACTTTTCACTAAAACTTATGGAAATTTCTCAGCCTCCAGTGTAAATTGACTGAGGTGGGGTCCATGAACCAAATTACATTGATCTATACTATGACAGCTCTAATCAAACAAATTAGGCCTAAAAAATTCCTATTTCGAACAATGAAAAAATGCAAATTTTCAATGTATTAATTTTACCAAAATGGACCAAAACACAAAAAGTGCCACAGTTCGGCCAAATGTCAATATTTTTCAGCCAAATTTTTTTGGGGTGGTTTTAGACACAGACCCATGATTTAAGACTGTTTCGAGCCATTTCCGAGAGGGTAGGTGTCAAACCTCGTTCAAGTTAACCTACATCCGCCCAATTGTAGATAGACCTTTACTCCAAGGTCTGTCTCTCTCTCACTCTCATCGGGCGTCGTGGAGGGGTATGAGAGAGCCAGTGACGGCATCTGTTCGAAATGAAGGCACTTGTTGACTGACGGCGCTGTTGTCCCCCGCAGTGGCAGGCGAGCGGCAGTGCCCCCTCGGCCGGGCCTGCCTGCCCCTCCAGGACTGCGCGGCGCTGTCGGGGCTGGCGGGGCGTGGCAAGCAGCCCACCCCCGAGGACGTGCTGCAGCTGCAGCAGGCGCACTGCGGCTTCGCCGGCGTGCACCCCAAGGTAGGCACCTTCACGCTTTTGTCCGAGGAAAACGATTCCTGGCGTGTGGCTTCTCTGCAAACTCAACAGTGTGATCAGCACACTCTGTTCAGCGTGTACTCACGAGTACACTCTAACGAGAGTGTACTCAGAAGAGTACACTCGAACGAGAGTGTACTCAGAAGAGTACACTCGAACGAGAGTGTACTCAGATCCTGGAAATACATGCAGTTGAGTACACGCTCGTGGGAGTGTGCTCGTGAGCACCCGCTGAAGAAAGTACACTCGTCAGTACACGCTGAAGAGAGTGTACTCGTGAGAACACGCTAAAGAGAGTGTACTGAGTACACTGTTGAGTTTGCAGAGTACTCCGCGCGGAGGGCAGCCTCCCTTCGCTGGGGCCGAGCACCCCGCACAGTGGTGCGGAGTAAAGACGAGTATACTTTGCGACTGCAGGTGTGCTGCCCCGGCGGCGGGCCGAGCGTGGCCGGCGGTTCGCTGCCCTCCGCGTCCGGCAGCCCCGCCGCGCTGGCCGCCGCCAACCTGCGGCTGCTGCCCTTGGACGAGTGCGGCCTCGCGAACGCCGACAGGATCATCCGCGGCAGTGAGGCCAAGGTCATGGAGCTGCCCTGGATGGCGCGCCTGGGCTACCACTGTAAGTACACCCCTCAAACACCTCCCCCACTGTTATTCAACAAATGTGACGTCACATTCGTTAGAATGTGGATCTTGTCACGTTCGTTTGGACGTGATGTCACATTCGTTTGAATGTTGATTCGCGCTTTAACGAATGTGACACCCGCATCAGACTGCCGCATGATGGCCGAGTCACATTCAAACGAAAGTGACAAAATTCACATTCTAACGAATGTGATGTCACACTCGTTAAATAACAGTGCCGCCAGTGGTTCGTCGCTCTCTCGCACTCACCCCTTCGAAGGGGGGTGCGAGAGAGGCGGAGCGACAAACGGCCACGGCTGTCCTTTTCTTTGGCCTTGATGCCATGGCACGGCCCAAGGGTTGACAGTGTGTGCCCGCCGCAGGGGATGACTACTCCAACGTGTTCGACTACAAGTGCGGCGGAAGCCTCATCAGCGACCGCTACGTGCTCACGGCCGCGCACTGCAGCAACGAGGACACCGGCCTCATCCCGTGAGTTGGCGCCTCCTCGCCTCCCTGCCCAGCGGCTCAGAAGAGTCTCTCTCTGTCGCACCCAAAGGGGTCTCCGTGAGAGTGCGAGAGAGACAGAGCGAGAAACCGCCCGTTTGACTCCCTCGGCTGCCTCCTTGCCTCCCGCTGGCTGGCTGACTGGTCTTTGACGGGGTCTTTTTGACGGGGTCTTTTTCACGGGGCCTTTTTGACGGGCTTTTTTGACGGCGTCTTTGACGGGGTCCTTCCTCAGGGTGTCGGTGCGCCTGGGCGAGCAGGACGCCTCCTCCGAGACCGACTGCTCCTTCGTGTCGGGCAAGCGGGTGTGCGCGCCGCCGCCCGTGGACGTGAACATCGAGCGCATCATCAAGCACAAGAACTACGGCGAGAAGAGCTTGCAGGACGACATCGCGCTGCTGCGCCTTGCCACGGCCGTCGAGTTCACCGGTGAGGCCACCAGCGCGTCGCAGGAGCGCCTCCGGGCGGCGAGGGGGGACTAGCCAAAGGGCACCAACACCGGGCACGTCTAACGTTCAAAATCCCCAACGGGGTGCTTCCCTTTAGAATCTTACATGGGAGAGAAGCGTATTCCCGATCCACCAATGTGAGCGTGCCATTTTCCATACTGGGCATGGACCCACCCGCTGCCTGCAGAGCCCTGCGCATCATCCCTCCCGACCAGCAATCTGGCACCGTCGGTACGAGTGGAGCTAAGCGAGCTAAGCCGGGCCCTTCGCCACGCGGACCGAGCCGAGCCGGGGAAACACTGGCTAGCAGCTAAGTATGGCAAATGGCAAACCACGCGCAGCACTCGCCGCGCGCGCGCTCACGCACTGGTGGTGACGCTTCTTTCTCTGTAGGACTCTGCTTCCCTTCACCCGTCTAATGCAAAGTGACCGCCTCCAAAGCCTTTCATTCCTCTTTACTGAGAAGCCCACCGGGTCGGGAATGTCGTGCTGCATTGGACCCCGTCGCGACAGGAGGAAAAGGAGTTGCGGATCCTTTGATCAGCGACCCAGCACGTGGCACGGCGTTTTTGGGGAGCTCCTGGGATCCGCGTCCCGAGCAGCGCCGCCAAGGAGCCTTCTCGCGCTGATTGCTGGGCGAGGGAAACTTGGCGCTCCGCTGCTGGCGCCGAGAGCGCCGTGCTTGCAGCATGCTTGCAGTGCGTATTTGCCCCCTCCTTCCCGCGCTTTCTGGGACTCCAACATGACCTCCAGCCTGCTGCTTCCTCTCCTCCCCCCCCCTTTTCCTCCTCATCCTCTCCGCCCGCCTGGCTGACTCGGCTTGTGCTTTGAGTGTCTCCGGGCTAATTAGAGTTACGCGTTTTCGTTTCGGGCCTCGAGTCTCTTTGTGGCCCTCCGGCCGAGCGACTTACCAGCAAAGACCCGCCCCCCTTTTCTTCTGACAAACCAAGTCAAGTCCATCGGAGTATCCGTCGAACAAACAACTAACCCGAACTGAAAATGAGCACACCTGCTCCTACACTGCAAATGCAAAGGCGATACTTACTAAAGTAAATTTTTTGGCCATACAATCGAGTATCGCCAATAAACCGGCCTTACGGAAAAGCATTGCCTTCAGAACGGCGATACAAAAACGTATCGCCAAAATTTGGCAATACTTTTGGATATTGCCGAAACCACGGCATTAAACCAAGGTCTTGTCCCCTTGTTTTGTTCAACGTTTACTGCCAAATCGTGGCAATACTCCAAAGTATCGCCAAATTTTGGTGATACTTTTGTGTATCGCCGTGTTGAAGGCAATACTTTTCCGTAAGGCCGGTTATTGGCGATACTCAATTGTATCGCCAAAAAGGTTCTAAAAGTATTGCCTTTGGATTTACAGTGTTGATGAGTTAGGTATGCGTTTGTAGGCGTGTACTGAGCCAAGTATGTATCTGTAGACGTGTACTCAGCTGAGTATGCATCTGTACATGTGTACTCAGCTAAGTACGCATCTGTAAATGTGAACTCATTTAAGTATGCATCTGTAGACGCATACTGAGTACACAATTCAGTTTGTAGAGTTGTGATGTGCCTCTTTGACGCTGACGTCCGTTCGCGTTGCAGACTTCGTGAAGCCCATTTGCCTGCCGGTGGACGCCAAGGACCAGAAGAAGGACCTGACCGGCAAGAAGGTGATGGTGGCCGGCTGGGGTCGCGTGGCTAACGGGATTGGAGGTAAGGGACGCCAAGGTCATCGTGCGTTGCTCCTTGTCTTGACCGATACACGGTAAAATCTTTGTCCTGTTTTACAAGGACCGGTCATCTCAGCTAGGGTCTTGGCGCCTGGTCCTTAGGTAGACCCGTCTGGCTAAGGTAGCTCCTTACCCAAGCGTTTGTTTACATGTCGACATGTTGAGACTATAACCTAATTATACCGATACTCCACGCTCAACAGACGAATTCAACCAAATAAGTAATTAAATTTCATAAAATACCAAGGTTAAAAGTGCGATTTTTTCATTTCGAGTGCCTGTTTGCCTCTGGATGATCCAGTTCATTCACGTCCGTGAAATATGTGAGCGGCTGGAGGAGCGCCGCAGCGTAAACGTTATCCCAATTTCTTTCAGCAATCCTCCCTTTTTTTGGAAAAGCGAGTACGGAACCGGATTCAGCGTTAAATTTTACGTGAGAAAACATGTTACGTTGAGTTCTATTAGTTTATTGTCTGAATTCCTACAATTGGCAAATGTGAGGTTAAAAATGGCGGACGTGAAAACGAACGCGCCGGGCTAGTTTGGCTAAGGAGCTACCTTAGTCAGAGGCGCCTCCCTAAGAACCGAGGGGGGGGGGCATGATTCTTAGCTGAGGTGACCGGTCCTTGTAAAACACGACAAAGTTTTTACCGTGCACTGGTGGCACTGACCCTGGTTCTCCTCGCAGCGGGCGGCAGCAAGGTGCTTATGAAGGTGAGCGTGCCCGTGTCCAGGGCCGAGGACTGCGCCAGCGCGTACGTGCCGCGGCAGCTGGTCATCTCGAGCGAGAAGCAGATGTGCGCCGGCGACTCCACCGGCGACTCGTGCCAGGGCGACAGCGGCGGCCCCCTGACCACGGCCGGCCAGGTGAAGGGCACGCCGCGCGTGGTGCAGCAGGGCATCGTGTCCTTCGGGCCCACACACTGCGCCACGAAGGGCACCCCCGGCGTCTACACCAAGGTCGCGCACTACCTGCCCTGGATCCTGCAGAACATCGAGCCCTGAAGACCCGCAACAACTTCGGCCGCTTCCTTCGTCCGGAGCCTGGAACCGCCTGCTTCGCCAGGAGTCCTCCCTTCAAAAGACTGATTGGCTGCGCGATGGCGAAGCCTCACTGTAAAAAATGTTGCAAATTTTTAAACCCCATTGGCATGCGAAATTTTGCCACCCAATGTACAGAGACTCCACTTGCACCCAGTGGGTTGCAGAAGGCCACTGTACCAGCCCACTAAATGGAATACATCGACCCGTTGGACAGCGAAATTTGCTATTGTGTCGTTGAAATCCGTACATCTGAGGCGAAATTCATGATTTGGGTGATTTTGGCTCTGAGCTCGCCCACATGTCTAAATTTATAGCCCAGGTGGCTAGGAGATTGGGGGCGCCTTGATTCCTCCACAAGAAATCGCTCCAAAGTGGTTTGGACGAAAAGTCTGGCGTCAACAAGAGTACGTCCAAAATTTTGGAGCAGTTTTGCGCGTACCAGTAAACACGTCCACAACATGGAGGTGTCTTGCATTGTGTCTCTTGATGCGGGAAACACATCCACGGCTCTACACGAAATTCTATCCACGCACGGTTGGTTGTGGAGGTAAATAACATGTGTACGCCCGGTCCGAAAACTCATCCACGGTACCTTAGCGATTTTACCTCCAAAGTCGCAGGGTGCGTTGCCCAATACCCTTACTGGTCGCCTCCAGTACTTCTACTAGAAACACGTCTAAAGATGATTAGAGGAAAATATGCTTCTACGGCATCTTACCTTTTTAGCCGTTGCCTAGGAGGGTGCACAGGCTAGGTTAGGAGCGGTGGCCCGCGAGGCCGTGAGCTAGGAGGGCGTGTTCGGCGGCCTGCAGGCGGCCGTCGCGCCTCGCGTCACGGCGCTCCAGGACCTGAACAAAGCCGTAGTCCAGGAGGGCGCACAGGTTAGGTTAGGAGTGGTGGTACGCGAGGCCCTCAGCTAGGAGGGCGTGTTCAGCGGCCTGCAGGCGGCCGCCGCGCCTCACCCCACGGCGCTCCGGGACCTGAACAAACCCGTTGTCCAGGAGGGCGCACAGGTTAGGTTAAGCGCCGTGGCCCGCGAGGCCGTGAGGTAGGAGTGCGTGTTCGGTGACCTGCAGGCGGCCGCCGCGCCTCGCCCCACGGCGCTCCAGGACCTGAACAAAGCCGTAGTCCAGGAGGGCGCACAGGTTAGGTTAGGAGTGGTGGTACGCGAGGCCCTCAGCTAGGAGGGCGTGTTCAGCGGCCTGCAGGCGGCCGCCGCGCCTCGCCCCACGGCGCTCCGGGACCTGAACAAAGCCGTTGTCCAGGAGGGCGCACAGGTTAGGTTAAGCGCCGTGGCCCGCGAGGCCGTGAGGTAGGAGTGCGTGTTCGGTGACCTGCAGGCGGCCGCCGCGCCTCACCCCACGGCGCTCCGGGACCTGAACAAACCCGTTGTCCAGGAGGGCGCACAGGTTAGGTTAAGCGCCGTGGCCCGCGAGGCCGTGAGGTAGGAGTGCGTGTTCGGTGACCTGCAGGCGGCCGCCGCGCCTCGCCCCACGGCGCTCCGGGACCTGAACAAACCCGTTGTCCAGGAGGGCGCACAGGTTAGGTTAGGAGTGGTGGTACGCGAGGCCCTCAGCTAGGAGGGCGTGTTCAGCGGCCTGCAGGCGGCCGCCGCGCCTCGCCCCACGGCGCTCCGGGACCTGAACAAAGCCGTTGTCCAGGAGGGCGCACAGGTTAGGTTAAGCGCCGTGGCCCGCGAGGCCGTGAGGTAGGAGTGCTTGTTCGGCGGCCTGCAGGCGGCCGCCGCGCCTCGCCCCACGGCGCTCCGGGACCTGAACAAAGCCGTAGTCCAGAAGTGGCCTTATAGCCCTCGCTGCTGGAATCCACGGCGTTGCTGCGGAGCGGTGCACACAAGGGTGCACGGTCCAGGGGCCATGGCGTCTTCGGCGTCGTTGCAGGGAACCAATGCGACACGCTCCCGGACGCGCGCGGGCGGCAGTGGCACTCCGGTCGCCGTGGCCGTGGCCGCAGACAGGTGGGGGGTGGCCGTCGTGGGTTCAGGGGGAAGTCCCTCGACCAACAGACGTGACACGCACTCCGCCTCCGTCATTCGCAAATGTAAAGCACTCAGTAAAGGACGGTCTAGAGTAGACTCCTTTGCCGAGGCCACGGTCGACGTGCTGTGGCCCCGCTGCCCGAAGGCGCCGACGCCTGCACGCCGAAGTGGCCGTTCAGGCCGTGCCAGAGGAGGGCAGACGATTGCGTGCTGCGCCACTCGCAATCCCCAGCCCCAGCCCCAGTTGCACTGCGAGAAAAGATCACGGTAAATCCTGTACTGATTACTCCAGACTTCACCGTGCTTTTTTTAACAGGCAATACCGTCGTTTTTTACAGGCAACGCCGTACTTATTTTACAGGCAACGCCGTACTTTTTTACAGGGAATCCCGTACTTTTTTACCCGGCAATCCCGTACCTTTAATGCCTATCAAAAACTGCTTTAATTTTTTTCAGTCGGTCGACCCTTGTTTTTCAAGATCCTGATGTACGTAACTGCTGAAGTCGGACTCCTGGACCCCCCTTCCGACCACTCGTTGAAAAGGTCTTGACGAGACCTATCGAAAGGTGCAATAAAATTTTTCAGTCGGTCGACCCCCTTTTTTCAAGATCCTGATGTGGACAATTCTTGGGAGCGGCCTTTGTTGTGACCAGATCAAGTCCTTCCTACGGCATGGACTGTACGAAAGAACGGTAACTTCTGTTAAAAAACTACGAAATATTTTGTAAAACAAGTACGGTAAATACTGTAGACTGTACGGTGGATACTGGTTTTTGAAGTACGGTAAAGTTTGGCAAAAAAATTATCCAGGATTTACCGTCATTTTTTCTTAGAGTGTGCCTTGCGTCGTGGTCACCTCGCCGACTCCGGTCGTGCGATAGATCGTGTGGGGCAAAGTGGATTCCACTTCGGTGGGTCGAAGTGATGATACAAAAGATGTTTTGAATGCCCGATACGATGGACCGTATCAGGCGAAGAGAAAACCTGACCACATCGCCTAAGGAGCGATGTAAGAAACACAAGTCCCAGTATGCTCCGCAGTGGAGGCGACGCCCCGCCGGACTCGTCCTGCTCCTTCACGCGGGCCGCGCAAGGCGTTGTCGGGAGGAATGGGGGAAGTCCAACCGCATCGCAAGTTCGCCCCGGCATGAGCTCGGCGCTTTGGCGCTAGAGCAGCAGAGCGTCATCGCCAACCACGTTGGCGGCGAGGTGTTGTGGTCCGATCCTGCAGCATGCATGCGTGCGTGTGGTGCGCGATGCGCACTTTATTGCTGCAGTGTCGGGATGATAGTGTTGTTAATACAGTTCACCTCTTCCCTTGTGTATCTTCGTATCAATGAACCAGGAGCAGGTGAGAGCGATGCGCTTAATGCTGCTCATGCACTGCAAGAAAAAAAAAACTGTACAAAAATAAAGTACTGGACTGCACAGCACTCGTCATGCCGGTTCCGTTGTACTTTGTACAACAATTGTTGTACTTTAAAAGTACAATAATTTCCTGTTAAAAAAAATTGCCAGGAATTTGTGTACTTTTGTTGTGGTGTTTTTCTTGCAGTGTGTGCAGGCTGGGCTCGCTTCGGAGTTGTGGTTCGTCCGTATGGTCTCGTAATCGCGGTTGGGTACGGGTACTCCTCTCCCCGCGCATCCGCGTTCAAGCCCCTGGGCTGCAAGACAGCCTTCTGATGCACCGGAGGGCTGCTTGTGCCTCGGGGGCTCGCGGTGCGTCAGTGGGAGCAGGAGTGCAGGTGAGTTCCGCCCTGGCAAAACGCCTGTTTGAGTTCGCACGCATTCGACCCGCCCCTGCAGCCGCCAAGGTAAACCGCATCCGATGTGCCCAGTGTGCTTTTTGCGCTATGCACCTTCCGTGGTGCTGAACACAGGACGTTGAACCTTACGTCGGGTCTGCATGTGGCATGCACCCTCAATGCACCGGGTGCATAGGGTGCACTGCTGCTGCGGGCCCGAGAGGGAAGCCTGGGGATGGGGTACACCGCTATTCTCTAAGGACGGTCTCTGGACCGCGGACTGTAGAATGAACATACTCTGCAGTCCGCGGCTCGAATCCCGTGCAAAGAGAAATTGGGTTTATCACCCTGCCTGCTTGCAGCCCCGCTGAGGCTTCGCACCGTTGTTTCTCTTTCGCACTGCTTTTCGCACTCGATGTTTTACCGCGATGCTTTCAGAACCCTGTATACTGTTTCAGAGGACGGCGCGGGCACTGCCCGGTACTTGCCACCAGCTTGTCAGTGTGAATCGACCGTAGCGCCGGAAGGGAAGTCCAGAGAGCGGCCCCGGATTTGGAGCCAGTCGCAGTCTTGGTCTGATCCCCAGAGCGTGGCCAGTCCAGCGACCGCACCAGCGACTCGTAGGTATCGGCGTTCACCATTCGTTCCGTTGACTCCCCTACGTCCCTTGCTTTGCTGCTAAGCTGATCAGGCTGCGCGCGCCCGAAAGCGCCCGAGAGGTAGGCAATCTTTGCGGCGCGCTCGGTAGGGCCAACGAGGTAGGCAACCATTCCGACTCGGTCGTGTCAGGCAGCGTCACCAAACTTATCGGCTTACAGTCTCGCCACTTTTTCTCGCTTTCGACTGCACTCGACTACACTTTGAAACGGATTTACTCCTCTCCCCCACAACCACTCGTTCGTTTCAGTTCGTATTCGCGCCCCCCTATCGTGACATTTCTGCGATGCTTTTCACAACCTGTCTGTTGCAGGTGACATTTTTACAGAGCTCTGGCGGTACTACATGAACAGACACCTCCGGTCCGACACACCATCCCGAGATATTCGTCGTCAGTTCGCCAACTACTCCGCAATGCGTGCCGAGGCGCCGGCGCTGCGGGAAAGCCTCCAGCGCCCTGCAAGGTAGGCAACCCTTCGCACTCCTCTTAGGTAGCGTCCGCCGCGCGCTCTATCTTTTCTGTGGTGGCCGCTTGTAGAACTACGTCGGCGGACGGAACGCCCTCAGCGCGCTCTAGTTTCTGTGGCGGACACTTGTGCAACTATCAACAACAACCCCGAGCAACCGAAGTGAAGGAGGAAAGTTTTTAATAATTGATAACGAAAATGCCGTTTGAACGAGTCGCCGGCAGCTACTTTGCCACTGCGCATTGTTGAGTTCGTGTTGCTAGTTCAGCCGTTCTGCCGTTCTGCCTTTCAATCGTTCAGCTTAATAGTCTGATACTTCGTTGAAACAAATATCCATCTTAGGTTAGGTTCGTTCATGGTGAATTTTTCACTGTTCTGGCAATGCAGAAATAGTTAGGTTTTCTTTATTTTCCCCTGCATGCAATATCATACGTATGAGCATTCAATATGTATTCATAAAGATATTATGTGGCAAGTCAGAAGCTGCCATATTTGCTTCAGATTCATTCGAAGCGTACAATTTCTGTTTTCAAGTATAACCAATCGAATGGATTCATTCTGTTTCTTATTGCAGGTGGCTGCAAGGGGAGTGCTGAATCTGTTCGCTTGAGTGTCGTGATTCTACCAAGTCTACTCCAACTCGTCACATCAACAACCCTGACAACTTCGCCATAAGGTTCGTTTCATTATTCTTGTCTTGTTTCTACAGTATGATTCTTTTTTTATTTTAGGTAATATTTTTATTTGTAACTTTTTCTTCTCTCAGGGTTCTTCAAAGACTATCGAACCATTCTGGAGCTGGATCGTGTCGTCTGGATCATGTTCCAAAAGAGATGACAACACTTCGGGACTGCTTCAGGCTCCTTCTCCTCCAACGGCTTTGCTTGGGCTGCTTTCACAGTGACATTTTCCCCGCATAATGTGTTTCCGTGTAGTCCATATTCAAACAAAGCCTGTAGCTTTTATGTTTGAATGTAAGTGTTAGTGGCTTTTGATTACAGTGATCACCACTATTTACTTGAGATATCATGGGGTAAAGTATAAAATTTATTGGATTATATCAGTGTACCGAAGGGTATCATATTAGTCTGATGCTCAGTATTTCTTGTTGAATGTGGCCAGAGATAATTGTAAAGATTATTATTTCTTAACGTTGGCTGGGTGAGTGCCGTCACATTGTCAAATTTTTTGTCTTTCTGTCTTATCTTGCTGCCCAGGACCTCCTGTCTCTGTTGAACTTGGGGCAGATAAAGATTTAGTAATAATCTCTTTTGTTTTAATTATTCAAGGGGAGTTGACAATTTTTCCTGGCAAAGACACTCAATTTCAGATAAAATTGTTTATGCTGAACAATGGTTCAATTATTTAGCAACTGTAGTCCTTGTTTAGTTGGAAGCTTCTTGGTATTTATGGGAAACTTGAATTTCAAACTGGTAATGCAACCGTTTTTAAGAATTTTTAGTGAAAGTTTGCACTCAGAGTTTGAGCAACAGTAGTAACTTAACAAGAATAGAGGCATGGGTTTATTTGGTTTGTTTCCAAGAGGGCTACATTCTGACTCATGATTATTTTGAAATGTTTGTAAGATAGCATTTTTAGAACAGATTTTGTCAGTTACTTATGGGATTAGAAGGGGAGCAGGAAGTGTGGGTGGGGAATGCAAGTAAAATGTATACTAGTGTCCTATTTTCTGCCCATCACCCTGCATTATGTTTGTTCCTTTTTTCCCCTGTCAAAGCAACCTTTAGAATGTTTGGTTTAGTTTGTTCGTTCAATATGTATTTGTATCTGACTTTTGGGTATATTTAGTATTTGATGTGAATGTTAAATTATGGTGACAATTCATCTTATTTCAGTCCTTATGTATTACTCCTGTAATATTTCTGGCTTCAAGCAAGAATTATTGAACTGAATTGAAACTTAACTAGTGGGGTAGTGAGATCCAATCCCTCAGCAAAATGACTTATGTTTCCATTTTCTCTGTGCCTTTCTTTGCTATGCCTCTGTACTGAAGCATTGTATGTATTGCTCCCTGCCTTGTTAAAGTATAATTTTTATTTTGTTTTTGTCATACACATTGCAACACACCCTTGATGGAGTACATGAAGTGTCAGCATGTATAAAGTAATGTGTCAATTCCACTGCTGAGCAAGTGAGCATATTGATTCTCCGGTGTACACTGCTTTGTGTCACCAGTATTTGAGGCGTCGTAACTTGATCTGTATGTAGGGGTGGTGACAAATTTTTGTATTTGTATTTATTGCGGTAAAAATTTACATGATTTACATAAGTTTTTACGCAAGTCAAGAACAAAGTGCAAAGCACAGCACCACGATTGGAAGATAGAAAATATAAAGTCGCCTCAGCAGTTTCAGATAAAGTATTCAAAGGTCATCCAGACTATACGGCTCTTTTTGTATGAGGAACTTTTTGAGAACATTTTTAAAGATTTTGGGTTTGTCTCTCATATCCTTAATTTCTTTAGGGAGTCTATTAAAAAATTGAGATCCCATGCATAATGGGTTATTTGTATCAACTTTTGTTCTATAGAACTGAACATGTATGTCTGCGTTGTTTCTGGTACTACAACTGTGCATTTCTTTTCTTATGGGTAAATCTTCTAAATTCTTAATGCCAAGCAAGCAGTGGGGTGGTGGAAACACAGTCATTCCTTCAGATGTAATGACACATTTCCTATTTTCCCTTTGACATGCTCCTGCACTGAGCTATTGTGTGCATTGCAATGTTCCCCACCATTTTATAATATTATTAATTTTTAAGTTCCTTCATTGTATTTTCCTGTTCAATTTTTTGTTCTTGTTTCAATAGAGTACTTGAGGTGTCAGCCCAAATAAAGAAATATCTCAATTTCGCTGCTGTAGTTGTGAGCATTTAAGCCCTACTTTGTCACATTGGAAGCAATGTTAGTTCGGTGACTTGCTTACTGTTACTTGAGGCGGCATGAGAACTTAGCAATAGCGACGAAAATAGCTACAGCTTTGGGCCAATATTTAACATCCTGAAAGAGTGAAAACCCCTTTAAATCAGCCATAGTAAATAATATAATAGAGATTTTGAGCCATGCGTATAAGAATCTTTTGAAAATGAATCGAAGTAGTGAAATATGTCAAGGACAACCTTTTACGACAAAATAGTATGCACAAGAAGATTTCTTAAGATACAGCCAGAATAGGCTCAAAAAGACTCTCTGACTGGGTTCAGAGCCTGGCATGTGCCTTCAAACGTCAAATTTTAGTCTCCCTCAAGAAAGATTTTATATTCCGAACAAATTATGACAGTGGGATCTATTTGGAAAATGGCAAGATTTTCACCAGAACCTCCCCTTAAGCTCTTGTACCATTCTTTTTTAAGGCCTGGAGTGTGGTCGTTACTTATCTCACAATAAGAAATGAGTGTGTTTAATGATTGTTGCTCAGGGTGGTTGATGAATGAAGCAAAACAGTACTCCCTTTACAGATTTTATTAATCAAATTCAGTTGGTAATCTAATTGAAACAAACACAGTGCATTCTTCTCATGTTGCTGCTCATCTGAAAATGAAACTTGCGCTGATTCAGGCTTGGCTTGGATTGAAGACCATTTTGGGGGAAAATGGGATGCAACTTTGGTAATACCTAGAAAGGAAAACACCAAATGAGGGGAGGCAATGGCAGATATTAAAATCAGGAGCAATAAAAATATTCGATGTTACTCACATTGGAATGCAGATAAAAACTCATTCCATGGGGCGCTCCAGCTTCTTCGATTCAGGATTCCACCACCCTAACACCATCACACCTTCCAGTTTGACATCAAGCGGAGTCGGTGAGTGAGGCAAAGACCACCAGGAGATTACTGGAGAACCCACAAACATAGGAAGTTTTAAGAGTAAGAAGTAGCTATACCAAAGGGAAGAGCTGAATGGGAGGCATTGGCACATGATAACATGATCACGAGGCAAGCTTTAAGATATTATCAAAGGAACAAATCTAAATAATGCAAGATGTATCGGGTGACATGGCTCCTTACAGCAATAATGACAGAAAGACTAAAAATAGCACCTAACATATTCATTGCCAATACAAGCATTTCAACCAACAAGGAAAGACAGTTTCATATCACAGAAATAAAAAATTTGCAGAAGAAATACAGGCAAAATAAAAGTTGTTCCAAGGAATAATGGTACTTGCAAAGTAAATAAAATTTAACAATCAAAGCACTGCGAGGAGTAAAAACTATGAAGCTCCAGATACAAGCTTGCACACAGTGCAATCAAAACCTCACTTAATAGGAGAGACAGGGAGTGCAAAGTCAGTCATGAACAATATTCAATTGAAAATTGAACACAAATACTACAAGAAGCAACATAATTCATGCACAAAGTCAGTCAGAATCAGAACAAAGCACATTGGAGCAAGAACAGGAAACCAAGGTATCAAATTACATGGCACACTATGAATGAAGTCAATACAAAGAACAAACACTTCACAAAGCAGACAATGTCCCCTTTGACACAGGTAGTAGAATTTAATTTAAGATTCATAACACTTCACCATAGTGATCACACATATGACAAGGGCATAGCAACAAGTACACTAGTATGATAAGATAATTCAATCTTACAAACAGAGCGTTAAGGAAGGCAAACAAAAATCGAATCGAGGTAAAACAAAAGAAACAGACAACAATCCGAGAGGCACAAACAGTTGTGTAATCAGAATGAGCAAAACGGTCAACATATTTCATAAATCAAGAGAGAGGCAAACAAACACTTAGCCAGCAAAGACACGAGAGGTACAGCAAGAGAATGAAATGTTTCAAATAGTGAAGCAGCAGTACCTGTTCAGATAAGAGTTGACACAATCGCCCTCCAGCAATCTTTACCTGGAAATAGGAAACTGCTACTCTGCAAACCTAGCACCATGCAGGCGCCTCGATTCAGGATGTTAACTGGAACACTGACTCCAATCGCAAACTATGACATAAAGACGAGACAAGATTGACAACTACATTAAGTCACACAAGATAAAGCAATGAGAGCCAGTCAAGACACTTCAAGACAGCAATGCAACAATGCACAACACAGTGATGGCAAACAAACAAACAATTTTAAAAAAAGCTGTACAGCAGGCCCATTTCAGTACAGAACATTCACAATATGAGAGCAAAGACAGACATGATAAAACAAGCCAAGCAAATTGACCAACAATCACACAGATGACAAGAGCATAGCCACAAGTACACTAGCATCGCAAGACAATTCAATCATACAAACAGAGCATGAAGGAAGGCAAACGAAAATCCAATCGAGGTAAAACAAAAGTAACAGACAATACAATTTCCGAGAGGCACAAACAGTTGGGTCAACAGAAACGGCATAGAGTGAACACATTTCATAAATGAGGATAGAGGCAAGCAAACACTTAGGCAGCAAAGCCACAAGAGATCACAGAAGTTTCACATTGACGCAAGCACACAGAAACAGTCAAGATAACAAATGCATCACCCAATACGATCCAAAGAGCAGACTGACGAAAGACACTGACGCTCATTAACACAAAGACAGAGACGGAACAGATATCAAAGCAAAATGTACAGTAACATATTCACAATGCAAAGTCGCGGGCAGGACAGACATCCAAGCAACAAAACCAAGTTCAAAGGAATGGCCACTTTGTGAAAACAGCATTTCGGGCAAAAAGTAAAGAAGCACCGAGAGCTGGCGCTGAAATCTGCAGCACCAAGGCACTGAAATAGGAGGGAAGTTGGAGGGCACAGACAGAATTAGAGGAGCTATAAGAATGAAACGGTTACTTAGCTTTTAGCTGGGTGCAGGGATGAAGTTTCTTTGAAGAGGGCAACAGTACACTCTAAAAAAAATGCTTCTTAAATTTCATAATCTGGATTTGAAGTTATTTGTAGAACAATGGATCTTAAATTTCATATCCAAAAAGTTCTTAAATTTCATAACTTGCTGTTCTAAACTTTCAGAAGTGGTTTATGAAATGTAAGAACTAATTTATTAATTTTTTAGAATCAATTGGTTTTGAAAATTCACATTTGGTTCTGAATCTCTACAACCAATATTATGAAACATGATAATAGTTTCATTACTGCCCACAAAATGTATAAATAAAAAATAATAATAAATAAAACCTTTATCCCTTTTTTAATGAATATGTTACAAATGATGAAATCTCAGAAAGCTATGATTTCTTTTTCACACTCAGTATTATCGCAAATCGTTGCAGCTGGCCAACGGAAATAAGCATTGTACTGTAGTGCAGTCGACGCTGTTAACAGTCAGAGGCGCAGCAGTGCATAAGATCCAGATGCACTTTAGGGAAACTCGGTCGACACGCAGAAACTACTTTGGGGACGAGGATGAAAGAGGAGAAGCGAATTGACATAATACGCCACCCACACGTTCATCGCCCGTCCCTACAGTTAAGAAGATGGAATAACAGCACTCAGTAACACCGCTTTTGGCGAAAACACGTCCTTTTTCCGAGGGTCGCCAAAATAGCTTGTAACTCTTGAACACGAGTGGTGGCTGTTCGGCACCACAAGCAACACTTTAACTGCACTCTACGCACTACGCGCACTAACGGTACATAGCGAAACAAAATTGATGACGCGAACTTGCGGTGACGCGGACGCGAACTGGATACGCTGTGCACAGCACTGGAGACAAAGACACACTAAAAGTGACGCAGTGTCGCCGAAATCCCGTGTGGCCGAGGGATTACGCGACCCCTCGCCGTGCACAGGTAGCTTCGGCTTCGGCCGGCAGGCCGGCGAGCGGTGATTTTCCGTGGAAGCAGCGCCGACTCGGCTCGGGGCGGCTCGGCTCGGCCGGCTCGGGGCGGCTCGGCTCGGCTCGGCTTGGCCGGCTCGGCTCGGCTCGGCTCGGCCCGGAGGACGGTGGCCGGTCAGGCATTGCAAGGGACGCGATTTGCAGCCTCTTGGGAAATACTACACACAAATTTTGAACATGCATTAACTGGAGCATGCCTGCAAGTACGCTCCAACAAGCGCATGCCCGCCAAGCATGCACTAACTAGTGCATCATGCCATGTACACGCGAACTGAAGCAGACAGCTCTCCATACCTCTCATTAATGTAATAACTGTATGCACTAAAAAGTAGTAGGCATACGCTAGCAAAAGCGTGCTTGCTCCAGTTAGTGCATAAAATGTACGTTTTTCAGTTTGTAGACCGCCCCTAGGACTCCTACCTTAGCGGTTCGGAAAATGTTAACACATGCCGATAAAAATGAAAACTTCACCTCTTTATTAATTTAACCATGAATAAAGGACTAGGCAGCAGGACTAAACGGTTAAAAATTTCAGAACCTTGCTCTAAAATCGGCTAGCGTTATAAACTTTCAAAGCGAAAATCTAGATTTTAAGAACCAGAGTTATAAGTCACTCTGTTCTAAAAGTTTATAACCAGTTAATCTTAAAATCCATAACCCAAATCTTAGGTTTCATAACACGATCTTAAATTTTATACGAAGGTTATAAAAATTGAGGTTTAGAACGTGATTATGAAATTTTAGACTCCTTTGGATATGAAATTTCATAATTTTTTTTAGAGTGTAGAGACGAGGCTGCCGTGGTGCCTTTCTTAACCTCAACAGCTGCACAGCGAAACCTTCCCGGCTGCCAATCATCGTATGGCACGATGAAATGAGGGACATGGAACTGAAATCATACATAACATACGATGAACACCGGTGAAAAGGCGAAATACGGTCTGTTTTGAAACGAGAGGTTTGAAGAGTTCGTGGGACTTACCTCAACACTATTTCTTCTCGAAGCAAAGTGGTTCTGTGCGCATTTGAAACAGAAAGTGAAGAATGTTGTTCACGCGTTCGTTCATTCTCCTTTAACAGCACAATTGAGAAATAATCCGGTTACTTAGATTTCTAAATCAAGACCGTTGACCGTTCGCAAGTTCAAACGTGCCGAGCCGTTACGATGCGCTGCGTGTTAGCCAACTGTTGTCCGATGAAGTTCATCTGTGGCCGCGTTATTTATTGTGGCACTATGGAAAAGGACCTGTAAGTATTAACAAAACCAATTAATTTTAAATTATTTTTCAGCTCTCTGAGGATTTTATGACCCAATTGCGTCTTGTTCAATTATTTTCTTTCGAAAAGTGGCGTACGTTGGTACAGCCACTGCCTGCCAACATGGCGGGCCGACCGACGACCGAAAACAACAACATTGTCTGTCGGGCCAGCAGAGCAGAAAATAGGTGCATAATCCAAAGTAATAACTTCTACTGTCAAATTTATTTTAAAGCTCCATTGAAAAGGTACACAGTAGGTAATGAGAATATTTCTTGCATCTGATCGGGAACTATTTACCGTGAATCAGACGATATTGTCGCTTCTTTCGAATTCACTTCTGCTTTCTGCAGTGGTTAACTAATAACAATCTACTTGATATTGAACTTGTTAAATTTGTTTTAATCTTCTTCGTCTCACTGTGATGAATGTGCGACGACAATCAGATATTCATAAAGCGCTCGTGCTATTGATTATTTCCTCTGTGGACCGCGTCCCCGACGCGTCTGCTCGTTTTGTTTAAGCTCCATCTTTGTGGAGGTTATGCGAACTACCTTAAGAATTCAGGGTTATATTATTTCCTTCACGCTGTCACTATGTAATTTTGAAATAATGTGGAATGTTTTAAGATTGGTGTGAGGCCTGTAGGGTTATGTCCTACACATTGAGGCTAGACTCAAGGCTGTGCTCGATATGACATAATAGTGGCTTTCTGGATTTCCTTCCTCAAGTACAAAGCATGGGATAAGCTGTTGATATTTGCACACCCGTAGTTCGTTTCTACTGCAATGTCACTGAGATATTGTCTGTAGTTCTAGTTTATGAAGTGAAAAGTGTTACTTGTCACCAAGGTAATAACTGTATCTTTTTGTTTCATGTTTCAGTCCTCATCCAGCAACTCTCCCTATGATTATCAAAGGGTACGTTAAGATGATGTGTATTGAAGCATATCCTGTAGTGTGCTCCATGTGTGGATCACCATTTCCCACCCATATCCCGTTAAGTGACAAGCTTGGATGCAGGCGAGCAAGTTTAACATTAGAAGTCAAACTGCTGCGAGAAAAGGTTCAGGTTGTCAGATGGTAAACTCAGACGGCTTCCAAGCAGTGCCAGAATTAAAAGGTAAAACAATTCTTCTGAACTTGTATGTGTCTTAATGCTTATTCAAGTGTAGAATAATTTAGTAATCGTTTTTGCCTTTGTTAATTATTATTTTGGTCTGTTCTATTGTATAGGTGATCTGTTGGTCATGTTCAAACTATCATGGATAGAGACATGGAGAGAGAGAGAGAAACAGAGAAAGAGAGCCTCAATTGAGAATGAAACTCTCGCCTCCTCGTGTAATGGTAGGTTGCTAACATACCTGTCGCCTCAATGGCATATGCCACTGAAATGATTCTGTTTGTTTTTAAGTGTCTTGTTTGTTGTAGCTGATGTATTACTGCCATTGCAACTGCACTCATGGCTTCTGTGGGGAAGTCAATAAATACAATCATGCTGCACAGAATCCTTATCCACTTTGCTAGTTTCTGTGTGTGTGCATGGTGACTTAGTCTGTGAGTACTTCTCTTTAAAAAACAAAACAAAAAAAACGATTAGGAGTCAATATGTTTCTTTTACAACTTTGAGGTCACATTTTCTTTATATGACCTCGATCCGTATTTCCTGGATGAACAGTGGTGAAGGGCATTCCAAATTACATCTGCTTTTGTTTGTATGGCCCTCTTGGGTGTAACTGGGCGTGGAAAGAAACAAGATCTTCCATCCTCTCATGGGTGAGTGGCTAAGTCGCTTTATGTTGGAGTCTTGTCTATTTCAGTATGGCATGCAATGCAATGTCTGCAGTGTCTGACATTAACAACAGTTCTCAGTTTTTCTTTTCTGCAAAAGCCTGTTGGTTTGCTGAGAATTCTTTTTTAGTGGAAGGCGGTTTTCAAAATGAATGCTTTTGCACCAATGTTCTTTGTTGAACTGAGCAAAACTGAAATCATTGTTGAAGGCAGTTCAGCCACCAACTTGTACTACTGTCATAAGGAATCTTCATGAGTTTCTCTGTCTCTGTGATGTGCATGAAATGTCAACTGCGTTACTCAGCTGTTCTGGCAAACAATTTAGTCTGTATAATTACGGCATTTCTTTGATGTGTTCTGTAGCAGGTGGCATGTTTTGCGATAATAACCTTTTCTTCTCCCTTTGTCCTGGTTTATTAAACTCTGATAAATGTCCTGTCTTGCTTTATATTTGTTGCAGTCTCAGAGATTAATTGCAGCGAGCTTGTGCAGCCTTGATCTCCTAGCTGCCTTTAACGGTTCTCTGCTGACAACAGAGTGTGCTTTTTTGGCATGGAAATGTGAGACTTTAAACCATGGCTTACACTGCATTCCAGTGTAATGTTTATTTCAAAAATGTGGCCCTTATCTCATCCACATTTTTCCTTTTCTATTTATGGTAACTAATCTGAGTAACACTGCATATTTATATTCAAAACAATCTTTTCAATGTTTCACCTTTGTTTATTTATTTATTTCCCCTTTACAGGAGATCTTCTGGTCTGCTTTGTCAAAATGTTCATCCTCTGGTGCTCTACGTCAAACAAGAGGTCGTCTCCCCACTGAACTAGAGGCTGTCAGAGTCCGTTCCCTTTGTGTGTAAGTAAATTTGTTATAATTGCTGTTACTTGCTGTTGAGATTAATGTGATGCCATTGCAGTTTATCTTGGTTTTTAAAAGCACCAGCTGAACATAAATCATTTCTCCCTTTATTACTACAACACTGGACAGCATTTACCATGCTCCTGTTTCATGTCAACTTTCATGTCTCTTCGGTACTAAATTTTAATTTTTCATTTTTTCCTCAGGTGTCTTGGTGTGCATGGAGAATTTTTCATAGAGGTCTCAGCAGTATACCCATTTGCTTTGAGAGCCATGCAGCCTTTGTGTCAGGCAGAGAACTTCATGAAGGAATATGCCTTATATTCTTATTTTGATTTGTTACTAAGCAATGCTCCATTCAATGAGACTTTCTGCTTTAATTTTTCTTCTTGAGAACTTATGGCTCTATGAAGACCCAAATTTGTATCACAAGGTAATCACATTATAATTCTAATTGAGTTTATTATGTATAGCGCATGCTTGGAACATGCTAAGAGTAAACACTTTAGTTGGCAGAACAATTTTGTTTGGATATGTTTCTGTGTGACGAGAACTTGGTAATTGCTATACTTTCTCTGTCATTTGAACTGCCATGCCTGTAGAGAGAGTGAATACTATGCCACTTATTGTTTGTTTGTTTGTCTTCAATTCTTTCCATTTCATTTCTCTTTTCCATCCCAGCATAGTTTATGAGTTGGAAGCTCTGGTATTCATCAATGAAAAAGGACCTGAAATTGCATTTCAAAGGAGCTTCATCATGAATCTTGTCTTTCTTTACCCGCACAATTTTACTGACTCTGGTTCTCCAACTTTCACGTTCCTATTTGGGCTTTCTGTGGTTCATTATATCTGCCTTTATTTGCATTGAATCTGTTGCGTTGCCATCATGCTGCCCACGACATCTTTTAATTTTCTGTTACCTGTTGGCCTTAGTTTTTATATAATCTTGCGTCGTGCATTGTGGCGACACTGAAACTGATTTGTGCTCTCTCTCTGCTTTCAAATTTTTTCTAACTAGTATGGGAACTAATAAATTCTTTTATTCTTTTCAAACAGGTGAAGAAATGAGAATCCAGAACCTGTTTCAAAAAATGGATTCATCTTGTGTCTATGTTGCGACAATTTATCCTCTAATCTCTTATCAGCTTCTTAAAAGAAGGTCTATTTAATTTCCTAAATCTTTATTGTAATGTAGTGTTCGTATCTTATTTGTTGTAATGCTGACTTTCTCTTCATGCAATGTCAATTACTGTTATGCCTCTGATGGTCCTGACCCAGTGGAATAGAAGAAAAAGGAAAACACCATTTCAAGACAAGGAAAGCATCCTGTATGCTGGTTGGTACTTTTTTTGTTTTTGTATTTTACACTCACTGTTGGTAACTTGTTCTTAACTATGTAATTTCATCTTTTACAGCACTGGTCGCAGCCAAGGAATTCCAACTGTAAAGGATAGAAGCTTCACAACACCAAGAGAACAACTCCACCTCTCACTTTTGATCCCTTGTTCGAAGACTGGGCTTATATGCATGAGCAGTTTCTTGCTCATGATAAAAGTTCCCTTAGCATTATTTGGTTGAATGAATCGAAGTTGTACTCAAATGTTTTCTCCCAGTTTATGCCATTCCATGTTCTCACACTCTCTTCATTAATCTAAATTTTCAGGCAAATACTTTTGCTCGCGTTATTTTGATTTTACAAAATCTTATTATACGCGCATTGTATTGTATGTGACACGTTGGAATGGATTCACTGGCCAAGAGACTATTTGAGCAGTAGACGGGAAGAATGAATCATTCTTACTTTTGAAATGTCTAGTGACAACTTTTGCAATGACCCTACTCCATCTTTGTGGCACCTTTTAATTTGCCTGTTGTCGCCAGTCTTGTAGCAAATGTTTGAAAAATGCCATTTATTATTATTATATTCCTAATTTCCAAATTTACACATGACTGTTCAACTGTTTTTTGGCATACCTGCTGCCTTGCGAAGCACAAGATCCATGCCAAGTAATTGTGCTAGTGCTGTGAGTTATTTTATTTAATAGTTGTCAACTAGATGTAACACAATCTCACCCCAGGCCAGAATTTAATTTGCTTTTAGTTTCTTATACTGTTTAAACCAGCAATGATGACCCTTTGATGGCCCTTGGCAGTTCTAATTTAATGGTATGGTGTATGTGTGTACATCTTGTAGAATTGTATTCTTCACACATATCAATTGTAACTATTTTAGTAACCAGGGTGTGTTTGGATTTGTTTCTTTGGAGTACCTAAATGATTTCAGCAGTGTAAAATTTGAATATTAATTATTGTCATATATCTTGGATGAATTTGCTGCTCAATTTTATTTTGTGGATTTGACTTCTATTCCATATTAAATAAGCAATCTGCTCTGAAAGTTTGTGGACTTTTCCCTGTCTGGCTATGAAGTTTCACAGTGGCTTGCTCGCAGATGTCGGCCTAAGCTTAGTGAGTTTTGGCACAGTTTTGTTATTGTTTCAAGTCCTTGTAGTCAAGTCCTTTTTTCTTTTTTTTTTTTTTTTGGTGGCTGTTCTTCTAGCAACATTTATATTTGTTAACGATTTGCTCAATAGTGCTGTTTTTAACTGTGGGCATTGACGTCATCCTTCCTCAGGCTTTATGTCTAGTTCAAATTTGTACTCTGACAGCAGAAGGTACGACCATCAAATAAAGCATACTGAAGTATAAAGTCCCTTTCATTTAATTGCCCATGACTTTTCTTCTTTGGCTAACACAGGCTATGGAGGCTTGACTCAAGCAACCATCTCTTGTATGCAAATGTAACAGGAGTTTAAAGAAATATATTCAGATGACAGTTGTGTATTCATGTCACTTTTAATCAAAATTTCGTCATTGAATTGACAAACATGACAAATACAGAAGTGATAATTAACACAATAAAAGAAAGGTAGAAAACTGCGACAGAGAGCAGAACTTTTTCTTAGCATAGAACGAATAAAAGCATTTAAAACACCAAAGTTCTTAGGACAGTGTCACAAAATTAGAGAAATGCGGAGAGCATAGCAGCACCACAAAGTTAGATGAGAAGTAAACAAATATAACTAAACACAGTAGTTAAAGAAACTCACAGCAAAAAATTCTTCAAGATCATTGCTGTCTGAGCTAAAGCGTTCATCAAAATTTCGTCATTCAAACTGACAAACATGACAAATACAGAAGTGATAATTAACACAATAAAAGAAAGGTAGAAAACTGCGACAGAGAGCAGAACTTTTTCTTAGCATACAACGAATAAAAGCATTTAAAACACCAAAGTTCTTAGGACAGTGTCACAAAATTAGAGAAATGCGGAGAGCATAGCAGCACCACAAAGTTAGATGAGAAGTAAACAAATATAACTAAACACAGTAGTTAAAGAAACTCACAGCAAAAAATTCTTCAAGATCATTGCTGTCTGAGCTAAAGCGTTCATCAAAATTTCGTCATTCAAACTGACAAACATGACAAATACAGAAGTGATAATTAACACAATAAAAGAAAGGTAGAAAACTGCGACAGAGAGCAGAACTTTTTCTTAGCATACAACGAATGAAAGCATTTAAAACACCAAAGTTCTTAGGACAGTGTCACAAAATTAGAGAAATGCGGAGAGCATAGCAGCACCACAAAGTTAGATGAGAAGTAAACAAATAAGTCAAGATGTTGACATAGCCTGCACTTAAAGGTCAGCTGCTGAGGCAGGGTAGCTTGACATTCTAGCCCTGAGCATCGCTGATCTCATCTGAGAAAATGATACGAGGGCTACCACTGCTGCACTAAACCTGAAACACAACAGAAGCACCATAGGTTAAAGTCTCACTATAATTTTGAAGCGACATTCTATGTAAGAAATCAAATAAACTAACTTCGCGCACTCTTCGTCAAAAATTGTCTTCAGCGGCGTGTTTTCGGGTAGTTTGCATCTGTTCATTATAGTGTTTTTCAAAGCCATCACATCTGAAAGCTGTTGGTCCCGTTCATGGTTGTGGGCAGAAGTGTGAACTAATACAGCACGGCCTTGACATCCTCTTTGCATACATTTGAAAAAGACGGAACCGTCGGCTCCGCTGCGGATCCGACGATACATGAATCCATTCGCAGCAACTGAATTCTGCGGCATTTCTTCAAATTTATCAAATTTGGCTGTTTTCGTGTGTAGCCCGCGAAACTGCGCAACAGATTCATTCGATTCAACTTTCACACGGCCTTGCACACCGATAGTCGACTTAAGCCAGGCGAAAGAAGAGGAAAAAAATAATTTTCCCGAACATGGCGGACGGCCGCCGTCATCTGCTAGGACCAATGAGGTGCGGGCCGCCATGTTCGGGAAGGTATTTTCTTCCTCTTCTTTCGCCTAGCTCAAGTCGTCTATTGATCGAAACCGATACACAAGAAGAGCCGAGAGCCGGGTATTCCCTCCCATCGTTGCCATACTTCGACAAATCGTTGTAGCGCGTTATGGCTGGCTCTCACAACCGATTTTCCTAATAGGTTTTTTTTTTAAAAAAATTCAAATTAATAAAGAAACATCTTGATGTATGGTGATTATTCCTTATTTTTTCAGGTGTTAGGTATATTAATACGTGCCACAAAGATGGAATAGGGTCATTGCAAAGGTTGTCACTAGATATTTCATAAGTAAGAATGATTCATTCTTCCTGTCTACTGCTGGAAGAAAATTTAAAAATTTGATAAGAATAAACCTGATCTGTTTTGTTTCCACCAGATCTTAAAACTGTTCAGTCAATTTGTTCGTAACGATGGGCATGAAGTTGCTTGTTTAATTTTGTGTGCACCTTGCATAATTGGTAATAAATTTTTCTGTGAACCTTGGACAATTGTAATGAATCTGTCAAATTGCTTATAAGCAATAAATTCGCTTGTTATTTCTTCTCTGTTTCCAAGCTTATCAGCAATAATGCATTGGGTGAACGTTATAGAATAAAAAAAATAGACAAGAAGACTGAGTTGAGACAGTGAAATTTTAGACCAAAACTAGGGAGGTATCACCCTACATTAAAGGCACACACAGTCATGATTCAAACTAGAAAAAAACAAAAGCAAATATTTTGTCCAATTTTAATTCTCAATCATTCTTAATTCTCAATCTGCAGCCAGCACTAACTCCATGCATGTAAAAATAATCTGGCTTGAAGCCTCACATGGACGACATTGGATGCTAGTGGTTAAAAAACTATACTTTCTTACAATCTCTGTTGTACAGAGAAGCAAACATAATAGTTATAGTGTTATGTGAAACAAATCAAAGGCATAAAAATTCAGAAAACCTAAGTCAGTTAAAAGAAATTGCTACAACAGAAACATGTTCAAAATGTCACCTACTGCTGCCTTCGTGGATGTCTCTGTAGGAAGTCTTCGATAATGTTGTCAACCAGATGAGAGGCTTCCCTCAGGAACCTAGCAATAGCTGCATTAATGTTTCCATGAGGTCGTAACAGTTGGTTACCCAATCGTGCGATCCGCTGGTCTTGGAAAATGCTGCTCAGCTTTCTTCCACGATTGACTCTTAGGCCCCTATCTAATCCTAGAATGTTGTTGTTGGATCTCTGCTCTAATCGAACAAGTCCCTCTGTAATATGTAGAAACACAGCAATTGCAAAAACTGTATTCAGAACTCATGGATGTGATAAATTTACTTCCCACCAGTTGCAATTACCTAGGAAATTGAAGACCATAGCATGATTCCCAACTTCATCATTCAGACTTTTGTTCCCAGACTCTGCAGCATTGTTGGTCCTCTGCTCTGAACCAAAGACACACATTCGATTCCTGCGTACTTCTCGCCTGATCCAAGAGTTCCAGACATAAACCAGATATGGCCTCACTATCCTGAAAATGTAAGGCCCTTCCTGCCTTGCTCTCCTCAGAAGTATGAGGTACCCTGGCACAATCCGTCGTCGAGGCAACAATGCGAGGCAAATGCACTCCCTAACTATTTGCCTGACTTCCCCGATGTCTCTCACATATCTGAGCATATCAAGCTCAGCCAGTTGCTGCATATGATCCTGAAATACATTTGCTTCAGTTAAAAAATGAACAAAAAGAAAATTTTTCTTCAAATGGACAGAAATTAGGCAAAGATTTACTCACTCGGCCAAGGTGCCAGTGACAGCCCTGAGTGTGGACTCCAAACACAATGTGCCATGCATTCTGCTCTGCATCTTCGAAATCAGTAATGACACGCTGAAGGTCAAATTCCTGATCCATCAAATTAAGCAGAAGGTGCAACACAGCTATGTAAGCATTTTCAGTCTTTCTGGACATGAGGGCCCATGCCAATGGTATAATTGTGTTGTCCCAAACACCAAGAATGCACCAAACCTACAAACAGATGTAAAAATAAACCTTAATTTATCTTTCATTATTTTATGTAAGTGGATTTGAACCCTGGAAAGTACCTGAGCTGCAAAGTTCCTATTGACTGGCACTGAATCAAAAGTTCCATCTGCATGGAGAACATGAAATGTCTTCAATTGCTGTAACATCCTATTGGAGACAAACAGAATGTGATGCTCTCCATCAGCATCATCTACTGAACCACCGTAGATGTTGTCATTACCATCATGTGATAATGTAAGAACACGGTGCTGATTATCTTGCAGTAGTGCTGTTAGCTCACGCAGATTGTTAGGGTGATGAGGATACCTTCGCATGCGAGCTTGTCTCATGGGGGTCCTCATGCGTGCATAGGTGACTCTGGCTGCTACTTCTGGATGAAAACTGATCACAACAAAGGGCACATATTAGGTTTTTATAAATCCAAACCACACCTCTGCAAGGGAATAATTCAAAACGCGTACCCGCGACTCTCTTCCAATATAATTCGTGTGAAGGGAACGTAGTCCAAATTTTCACATCTCTGCAAAATATTGCGTCTCAAGGCCATCTCGTCCGCATAATGAGGGTCAGCTTCATGATTGTGAATGCCAGTAAGGACGAAGCCTGTCATCGGGTCGTAGGAAGCTCGCCCGTAACAACCTCGCGCAGCACGGACACATTTATAATAAATTGTCCCTTCCCGGCGATCACTTTCATGAAAGTAAAACCCGTTTTCAATATGATAAAAGAAGGAATTCGGGCGCGTTCCTGGTTCTCTAGCAACATTATGTGCCATCTTCCTGTCGACAAAGAAACATAACCTGTTAAGAAGATAGAAGCATAAGGGTTATGCAAATTGAAGCAATTCTCCACGAACTTAAGAATTGAGCAGTTTCATGTTACAAAGAAGAAATTTCGTAGAAATAAAGAAAATTTAATCGCCAACAGCTTCTTCTTAAGAAAATCGGAAAATTAGCAGCACTTACGAATGCACTGCGTGGAGGGTGTGGAAGGGAAGGACACAAACAGGGAAACAAAAACGAAACCAATAAATATTATGTACAGCAGTCCTGCGTATAAGGCTTCAGTTGGGTTCCCGGTTATTTCTCAGCAATTAAAACTAAAATATTGAGAAGTAAGTATGATGTCTACTTTAAAGAAATAAAAGGAAGAGATCCTCAGCCATTTATGATTGTATAATTAACGTTATTTCAGAAATTGGAACAAGTTCCGAAATCAAATTTGAGATGTTTAGTTGGTGGTACTGGGTTCTTCCTGCGCAGGCTCCGCCATCTCCCAACCATTTCCGTTCCAGTCGTCGTTGCCAGGTTCTCGAGTCCTACAATTCTGTTCTACAGTAGGTTTTCAGCCGGTTTTCAGCAGGTGTTCAGAACACTTCATAGTTCAGGTACATCTCAGACTGTTCGTCGCCTCATTTGTCATGATAGTATAGAATGTGGTATGTCTTCAAAGCTAGAAATAAGGTTGGAAAACGGGAGAGGGCAGGAGCGGGCGTGACGAGCCTGAGCCGCCAATCGGCAGGTTAACTCACCACGCGGCTTTGCCTAAACAACCACCTTGTAAGAGAATATTCGTGTAAATTTGGGAAGTTTTCAGCCCTTTCATTGGAAATTAATTCACAGAGGATTAAGGTTAAAGGAGAGTATTTCGCTTCCCCCTTTAAATCCGACAGACTATCATGTATGGTAGGTCCTCCCGCGGGGAAATCGCTGTGAATTTCGGTGTACAAATCCAATGAATTTCAGTAGAAGTTCGATGAACTATAGTCAAAATTCGACGAACTTCGATGAATTTTATTGAATTTCAGTGAATTTTTCAAGTCTTTGATGAATTTTGGTGTACAAATTTGGCTGGAGTTATTTTCCCTTGGGTCCTCCAGGTTGAATGCATGTGAATTTGTCCTTTTTCTCTTCACAGACAATGGATCCCCTGGACCTACGCGTCCTGCGTGCGCCGCGCGCCCCAGTGCCTGAAAGGCCGATGCCGCCGACCCAGCAGCTCATGCCTCAGGTGTCCTCCATTGCTCCTACACCGTTGGATCTATCAAGACCACCCCCACCCATCTCTATTCCTTTTTCAGTTCCACCCCCGTCTTTTTTTTCAATACCACCACCAGTCCTATACCCAGTCCAAACTCCAGCCCATCAGCGTCCACCCCACCTCACCATACCGCTTTTCCCATTCCCACCTCCGCCAATTCACAATTCACAACCACCCATTGTGAGTTTTCTCAACATTTGTAGCAGTTCTCACAGTAGTGAAAGCCAACTCTTTATAAAGTATTTAATGTTTTCTTTTGAAGGCTACTGGGGCTACTGGGCTACCGGGCTATTCCCGTCCCTCAACGAGCTACTATGGACATCAGACAAAACCGCAGCCTGGCCCCGCTGCTGTAGAGGAGGTGAAACCTCTGATGAAGGTAAAAAGAAATTTCTTTGTACCTGTTATTGCTCTTTATTTTTGCTGCCATGCTGAGAAAATTTTTTGTTATCAGGCTACTGGAGAAAACATGTGCGGCTGTTCGCATGTACAGGAGAGGGCTTCACAACAAACTCCCAAACCATTGCCAGGCGCCACTGGGGCACATAGAGGAAGTAACATACCTCTGATAATGGTAAGAAGTAATTTCTCTGTCCCTGTTATTGCAATTAACTTTTGCTGTCATGCTGACATAATTTTTTTTACACAGACCACTGCAGAGATCGTGGGCAGCTCTTCTGAACAGGAACCTCAACCAGGCCCTGCTTTTTTCGGCTATTCCTGTCCCTCAACGAGCTACTATGGACATCAGACAAAACCGCAGCCTGGCCCCGCTGCTGTAGAGGAGGTGAAACCTCTGATGAAGGTAAAAAGAAATTTCTTTGTACCTGTTATTGCTCTTTATTTTTGCTGCCATGCTGAGAAAATTTTTTGTTATCAGGCTACTGGAGAAAACATGTGCGGCTGTTCGCATGTACAGGAAAGGGCTTCACAACAAACTCCCAAACCATTGCCAGGCGCCACTGGGGCACATAGAGGAAGTAACATACCTCTGATAATGGTAAGAAGTAATTTCTCTGTCCCTGTTATTGCAATTAACTTTTGCTGTCATGCTGACATAATTTTTGTTACACAGACCACTGCAGAGAACGTGGGCAGCTCTTCTGAACAGGAACCTCAACCAGGCCCTGCTTTTTCAAAGAAGGGAGAGCCGGCGAAACCAGTGAAAAAGGCATGTACAAATTTATATAGTTTTTGATATTTTCTTTGCTTTTAGCTTTTTAGTTTTGCTGTCTTGTTTACGTGGTAAAGAAGAAACTATTCAGTACTATTTTCCAATATTAATTTTTAAAGTCACTTCTTGAACTGTTGCAGTCTGCCAGTAATGACAGTAGTGCTGTTCCTCCAGTAAGTTTGTTTTACTCTTCATTTTGCTCAGTAACATATTTGATGATTATTTTGTATGTTTACAACTGTTTCATAGGTTGCAATTGCTGGCTGCTCCCGAACACTTCGCAAGAGGAAGGATACCGGTAAACAGGATAAGGAAAATGTAAGTCTAGTTTATAACTCATGAATCTATATTTAGCTTCCTCTTACCATTCATATCCGGTCCTGGTTTTTCTTGTCCTTCAGGAAAAAAGATTTGATGAAATTCTGAATGTAAGTTGAATTGATTTGTACCTCTTGTATGTTGTTGTTCCCGCAGAAAATATTAAACTGTCTAACATGCAATTTTTGTGTACAGCTCCTTGCGGATGACGATGACGATGACGATGCGGAGGAAGAGGTGACCAAAGGAGACAAAGAAAGCAAAGCCCCCAAGAAAGGGGCACAACCCAAGAAGGGCAAAAAAGTAGGTTCACCCTTTCTAAATTTTAGCCTTACGCTCATTTAAAATAATCCTTTAAACAAGTATCTTCTCGTTTCATTCTAGGTAGAGACCAAAGCTCCGAAACAGAAGAAGCTTAAACTTTCGAAATTGCTAGTAAGTATGCTAGAATGCCATTTCAGTTTGATGTGAAGTTTAATTGTATTATTACTCATACTCATCGCTTATTTTCTTCCTCTCATTTTCTTCAGCCTGAAAATGAGTCTGATCAAGATGATCCAGAACCCGCTGAGGATGATGACGACTTTGAGCCTCGCAAGAAAGCGAAGAAAGAGGTGCCTGCTGCCATCAAATTCTGTAAGTACATTTTGGTCTCATTTTCCTAGTATGGTTGCTTTGGTTGTAGTTTTAATTTTGTCTTCTTTTTTCCTCAAGTGGACAGGAAAGAAGATGTTGAAACAGTAAGCGCATTAATGCATTGACTTGCTGTGCCTTGGAAGTGGAAATCTGTTAAATGCTTCTTCAAGTTCCACTTGATTCTTAATTTAATTAAATTAACGATTCACTAAACTTTGTCCAAAGTAGACACAAATTTTACTATTTTCTCTTTTAGTTTGTGTTGCGCTTGGCATTGATATGTAAACTAATGTGTCATGTTTACATTATTCTGTGTAGGATTTTGTTGACTCATTTGCTTTTGTTCGCAGATCTGCCTGAGCGAGGAAAGCGAGAGTGATGATGGTAATGTCCGATGTGCTACCTGTGTTATTGGGCTTGAAACTCTTGACAGTGAAACTGAAATCATGAAATGTTACCCATGTGGATGTGCCTGTGCGTGTCTTCCCCATGCATCTGATTGGATTTCAGCTAAAAAAACTTGTTATCAGTGCAGGACTGAAATTTTGCTTTGTGGTGGAATAGACAATGTAAATTTAAGACTCATTTTATCATATATTAAATTAACATTTAAGAACTGTCAATTGAAATTTCTGAAACAGTAAAGACTTGTATAATTCTTGTATAAACATCAAAGTACGATGAGATGTCTAACCAACTTGCATTTTTCTGTTAATGTTGTAAATTTTTTTACAGGTGAAACCATAACTGACACTGTCGCCAACTTGCTTTATGAAAGTGACGGTATGTAATGTTTTTACCATTCCCACCTAATGTTTTCCATATGTTGTTTTAACTCAGGTACTCTTTACAGGTATGGATGGTGTGACTAGGCAATGCATCATCGCCTATTTCCGGTGTTATGAACCAGAACACAAAAGCATTAGGAGGAAGAAACTCCCACCATTGCCACCAGTACACTCTAAAAAAAGTTACAGAATTTTGTATCATTTTTGATGCAGGATTTTGTATCACCTGCATTGGTTACAAATATTTGTATAAGTGATATAGAATTTTGTATCAGATGTGCCGGTTACAAAAAAATGAATCATTTTGGAGCTTGATCCCAGAAATTTGTTACATAAAGGGTTACAATATTATGTTTGTAACATAACTGATACAGAAAATTGTAACTGGATACTAAATTCTGTATCAGAGTTTAAAAACATAATTTTTAACGGCGAAATTGAACAGCAGTGCCCATAGAGACAAGTTAAACTTAGAGTTTTCATGTGCTTTTATTTTTCCCGACTCTGAATAAGAGATGCAGTCTCGTGTATTTTGGGCTGGCAAGGCCTCCGTCCCTTACCACGCGCGCCTCAGGTCACCGGCTACCTGCGCCGCTCCCTCCACGGCGTCCGCACAGCGAAATTTGGTAGCGTGGCGGGCCCCCAAACCCAGATTTTGGGGGTTCGTTTCCCGACTTCTCAGAGTACATCTGGGAAAGTTGTGACTCGAAGGATGGCAAAAGGGCCTTCAATCAGACCCACGGAGACTACGTTCAAAAAAAATTTCTCATTTTGAAGCTTGATTTGGAAGAATAACGACTGTTTACAAATTTTGTAACCGTTACGAAATTCTGTAACCAAGTTACAAAGAAAAAAATTGTATCCATCATGATACAAATTTCTGTAACACATGTTATTGAAAAAGCTGCGTAACCATGTTACAAAATTCTGTACTGATTTTTTTTAGAGTGTAACAGAAGAGGATGAATTGCTGAGGTTAATCAACACACTACAAGAACCAATAAAAAAGAAAATTCTGAATCTCCTGAAAGAGGCTAAGTTAAAACTAAACAACTGATTTAAAAGTGTTGCGAGGTAAGAGTTTCAACCTTTAAGTGTAGGCTATGTCAACATCTTGACTTATTTGTTTACTTCTCATCTAACTTTGTGGTGCTGCTATGCTCTCCGCATTTCTCTAATTTTGTGACACTGTCCTAAGAACTTTGGTGTTTTAAATGCTTTTATTCGTTGTATGCAAAGAAAAAGTTCTGCTCTCTGTCGCAGTTTTCTACCTTTCTTTTATTGTGTTAATTATCACTTCTGTATTTGTCATGTTTGTCATTTTGAATGACGAAATTTTGATGAACGCTTTAGCTCAGACAGCAATGATCTTGAAAAATTTTTTGCTGTGAGTTTCTTTAACTACTGTGTTTAGTTATATTTGTTTACTTCTCATCTAACTTTGTGGTGCTGCTATGCTCTCCGCATTTCTCTAATTTTGTGACACTGTCCTAAGAACTTTGGTGTTTTAAATGCTTTCATTCGTTGTATGCTAAGAAAAAGTTCTGCTCTCTGTCGCAGTTTTCTACCTTTCTTTTATTGTGTTAATTATCACTTCTGTATTTGTCATGTTTGTCAGTTTGAATGACGAAATTTTGATGAACGCTTTAGCTCAGACAGCAATGATCTTGAAGAATTTTTTGCTGTGAGTTTCTTTAACTACTGTGTTTAGTTATATTTGTTTACTTCTCATCTAACTTTGTGGTGCTGCTATGCTCTCCGCATTTCTCTAATTTTGTGACACTGTCCTAAGAACTTTGGTGTTTTAAATGCTTTTATTCGTTGTATGCTAAGAAAAAGTTCTGCTCTCTGTCGCAGTTTTCTACCTTTTTTTTATTGTGTTAATTTCACTTCTGTATTTGTCATGTTTGTCAGTTTGAATGACGAAATTTTGATGAACGCTTTAGCTCAGACAGCAATGATCTTGAAGAATTTTTTGCTGTGAGTTTCTTTAACTACTGTTTTTAGTTATATTTGTTTACTTCTCATCTAACTTTGTGGTGCTGCTATGCTCTCCGCATTTCTCTAATTTTGTGACACTGTCCTAAGAACTTTGGTGTTTTAAATGCTTTTATTCGTTCTATGCTAAGAAAAAGTTCTGCTCTCTGTCGCAGTTTTCTACCTTTCTTTTATTGTGTTAATTATCACTTCTGTATTTGTCATTTTTGTCAATTCAATGACAAAATTTTGATTAAAAGTGACATGAATACACAACTGTCATCTGAATATATTTCTTTAAACTCCTGTTACATTTGCATACAAGAGATGGTTGCTTGAGTCAAGCCTCCATAGCCGGGTTTAGCCAAAGAAGAAAAGTCATGGGCAATTAAATGAAAGGGACTTTTTACTTCAGTATGCTTTTTTTGGTCGTACCTTCTGCTGTCAGAGTACAAATTTGAACTAGACATAAAGCCTGAGGAAGGATGACGTCAATGCCCACAGTTAAAAACAGCACTATTGAGCAAATCGTTAACAAATATAAATGTTGCTAGAAGAACAGCCACCAAAAAAAAAAAAAAAAAAAAAGGACTTGACTACAAGGACTTGAAACAATAACAAAACTGTGCCAAAAATCACTAAGCTTAGGCCGACATCTGCGAGCAAGCCACTGTGAAACTTCATAGCCAGACAGGGAAAAGTCCACAAACTTTCAGAGCAGATTGCTTATTTAATATGGAATAGAAGTCAAATCCACAAAATAAAATTGAGCAGCAAATTTATCCAAGATATATGACAATAATTAATATTCAAATTTTACACTGCTGAAATCATTTAGGTACTCCAAAGAAACAAATCCAAACACACCCTGGTTACTAAAATAGTTACAATTGATATGTGTGAAGAATACAATTCTACAAGATGTACACACATACACCATACCATTAAATTAGAACTGCCAAGGGCCATCAAAGGGTCATCATTGCTGGTTTAAACAGTATAAGAAACTAAAAGCAAATTAAATTCTGGCCTGGGGTGAGATTGTGTTACATCTAGTTGACAACTATTAAATAAAATAACTCACAGCACTAGCACAATTACTTGGCATGGATCTTGTGCTTCGCAAGGCAGCAGGTATGCCAAAAAACGTTGAACAGTCATGTGTAAATTTGGAAATTAGGAATATAATAATAATAAATGGCATTTTTCAAACATTTGCTACAAGACTGGCGACAACAGGCAAATTAAAAGGTGCCACAAAGATGGAGTAGGGTCATTGCAAAAGTTGTCACTAGACATTTCAAAAGTAAAAAAATTCTTCCCGTCTACTGCTCAAATAGTCTCTTGGCCAGTGAATCCATTCCAACGTGTCACATACAATACAATGCGCGTATAATAAGATTTTGTAAAATCAAAATAACGCGAGCAAAAGTATTTGCCTGAAAATTTAGATTAATGAAAGAGTGTGAGAAAATGGAATGGCATAAACTGGGAGAAAACATTTTAGTACAACTTCGATTCATTCAACCAAATAATGCTAAGGGAACTTTTATCATGAGCAAGAAACTGCTCATGCATATAAGCCCAGTCTTCGAACAAGGGATCAAAAGTGAGAGGTGGAGTTGTTCTCTTGGTGTTGTGAAGCTTCTATCCTTTACAGTTGGAATTCCTTGGCTGCGACCAGTGCTGTAAAAGATGAAATTACATAGTTAAGAACAAGTTACCAACAGTGAGTGTAAAATACAAAAACAAAAAAAATACCAACCAGCATACAGGATGCTTTCCTTGTCTTGAAATGGTGTTTTCCTTTTTCTTCTTTTTCCACTGGGGCAGGACCATCAGAGGCATAACAGTAATTGACATTGCATGAAGAGAAAGTCAGCATTACAACAAATAAAATACGAACACTACATTACAATAAAAATTTAGGAAATTAAATAGACCTTCTTTTAAGAAGCTGATAAGAGATTAGAGGATAAATTGTCGCAACATAGACACAAGATGAATCCATTTTTTGAAACAGGTTCTGGATTCTCATTTCTTCACCTGTTTGAAAAGAATAAAAGAATTTATTAGTTCCCATACTAGTTAGAAAAAATTTGAAAGCAGAGAGAGCCAAAAACAGTTTCAGTGTCGCCACAATGCACGACGCAAGATTATATAAAAAATAAGGCCAACAGGTAACAGAAAATTAAAAGATGTCGTGGGCAGCATGATGGCAACGCAACAGATTCAATGCAAATAAAGGCAGATAAATGAACCACAGAAAGCCCAAATAGGAACGTGAAAGTTGGAGAACCAGAGTCAGTAAAATTGTGCGGGTAAAGAAAGACAAGATTCATGATGAAGCTCCCTTTTAAATGCAATTTCAGGTCCTTTTTCATTGATGAATACCAGAGCTTCCAACTCATAAACTATGCTGGGATGGAAAAGAGAAAAGAAATGGAAAGAATTGAAGACAAACAAACAAACAATAAGTGGCATAGTATTCACTCTCTCTACAGGCATGGCAGTTCAAATGACAGAGAAAGTATAGCAATTACCAAGTTCTCGTCACACAGAAACATATCCAAAAAAAAATTGTTCTGCCAACTAAAGTGTTTACTCTTAGCATGTTCCAAGCATGCGCTATACATAATAAACTCAATTAGAATTATAATGTGATTACCTTGTGATACAAAATTTTGGGGCTTCATAGAGCCATAAGTTCTCAAGAAGAAAAATTAAAGCAGAAAGTCTCATTGAATGGAGCATTGCTTAGTAACAAATCAAAATAAGAATATAAGGCATATTCCTTCATGAAGTTCTCTGCCTGACACAAAGGCTGCATGGCTCTCAAAGCAAAAGGGTATACTGCTGAGACCTCTATGAAAAATTTTCCATGCACACCAAGACACCTGAGGAAAAAAAGAAAAATTAAAAATTTTGTACCGAAGAGACATGAAAGTTGACATGAAACAGGAGCATGGTAAATGCTGTCCAGTGTTGTAGTAATAAAGGGAGAAATGATTTATGTTCAGCTGGTGCTTTTAAAAACCAAATAAACTGCAATGGCATCACATTAATCTCAACAGCAAGTAACAGCAATTATAACAAATTTACTTACACACAAAGGGAACGGACTCTGACAGCCTCTAGTTCAGTGGGGAGACGACCTCTTGTTTGACGTAGAGCACCAGAGGATGAACATTTTGACAAAGCAGACCAAAGATCTCCTGTAAAGGGGAAATAAATAAAAAAACAAAGGTGAAAAATTGAAAAGATTGTTTTGAATATAAATATGCAGTGTTACTCAGATTAGTTACCATAAATAGAAAAGGAAAAATGTGGATGAGATAAGGGCCACATTTTTGAAATAAAC